GAGATCTACAACGTCAAGCTCGACAAGATCCCGACGTTGCGCCCGGCCTTCAAGAAGGACGGCACGGTCACGGCCGCCAACGCGTCGCCCCTCAACGACGGCGCCGCGGCCCTTGTTGTCATGTCGCGCGAGCGTGCGGACGCGCTCGGCCTCAAGCCCTTGGCGCGCATTCGTGGTTTCGGTGACGCGCCCACAAGCCCGTGGACTTTACGACCGCGCCGTCCAAGGCCGTTCCGATCGCAGCCAAGCACGCTGGTCTCCAGCTCTCGGACATTGAGTACCACGAGATCAACGAAGCGTTCTCGGTCGTTGCCCTCGCCAACATGGAGCTCATGAAGCTCGACCACAGCCGCGTCAACGTCAACGGCGGCGCCGTCGCGCTCGGCCACCCGATCGGCATGTCGGGCGCCCGTATTGTCGGCACGCTCATCCACATTTTGGAGCAGAACGACGCGACGATCGGTGCGGCGTCCATCTGCAACGGCGGCGGTGGCGCTGGCGCGCTCATTATCGAGCGGTTGTAAGAACTCAACGTGACGTACCCAACATATATTTTGTTTTTGTCGTGCGGCCGTCAAAACGGAGGCACGAAGGGGGAGTCGAGTCGAGAATCTCGCGAGTCGGGCCCACGCCGTCCGCAGCCATCCTTGGCGCTATCACATGCAGCGTCGTTGGACACAAAACGAGGAGGTCTTTGACGAGCTTGATATTATATACCCTTGATACTAGATTGATACATTGATAGTTTGGGAACTGGGCCACTTGGGCTGCCCACATGGCCCCTGTACGCCGCTCGTGCGTCGAATTTCAAGGACGTCGGCAGTACAGCACCAGAGGAAAACACCTTCAAACCTCCACACATCGCTTGGCGTAACCAAGATGTCGCGTGCCATCGACGGTTGTCATCGCTGGTTGTCAAACCAAAACGACAGTACAACCGCCGAAGTACCAAGCATGCTCATCACCACTCGTCAACGAATGGGTCTGTGTCGGTGTTAGTGCCCGAAACGTCGTCAAAATGGTGGATGGCGACAGGTTGAGCGCTTGCGAGCCGTTGCGAGCGTCACGAGTGTCCGAAGGTCGCCGGCAGTCCACCTGCCTCCCGCGTTCCTTAGAGTGCACTTGAAGGCGCGCAGGAGTCCGACCCGCGTGTTGGTGCTGGGATCTGACGGCGTGACGCTGCACTACACCGTAGCGACATTGGCGACGCAATTCGACGTTAGCCGTAGTACAGTGACATCGCATTCGCGTCCCAGGCCAGCCCAAGGACGCCGCTCTGCGGCTGGCTAGAGCACTTGGGCCACAGCAGCTCGTTGATCAACGCGGCCAAGAGAACTGCATCCGCGTCGGTACAGGCGGCGCCGCCCATCCTTGGAGGCGTCACGTTGTGACCGTACGACTGCAGCAGCGCTTGAGTGGCGGCCGTCGCATTGGCCTCGTCACAGGACGGGTGCGTAGCTGCCGCGACCAGGGGTGAATGAGATATAACATAACCCCTGTCGACGCAGTTGAAGGCCGCGATGCGACAACGCGGTGGCTTCGTGCCTTCTCACTGTGTCCATATGAGCCCATGGTATGCGTCACACACCAAGACGATTCTCATAGCCCAAGCAAAAAATGTGTTTATTGTCGTCGAGGGTCCGCGACCATTAGAGAAGCATAGCCAGTACGACCCCGCACGCGCCAAGCAAGCTCATCGTCACCGGCGCCGCGATCGATCGGGTCGGTGTTGGCGTCGGTGTTGGTCTTGGCGTCGGGGTCGGTGTCGGCGCTGGCTTTGGTACCGGCTTCGGCGTCGTTGGAACGGAAGTCACGGGGCATTCTTTTGCCAAGGCAGCTGCCTGGGCGGCAGCCACTCCCATCGATGCCACCGCCACATGGGCGGCTGCGAGCACAGAGAAAATCGGACCCAATGGGCCTTGGAGGTTCGTCGGAATCGTCGTGAGATCGCACGCTAGCACATGCGTGGTGAACGCAACCGCAACGTACGCCGGACACGTCGTCGCGCACCACTGCGGTGGAGTCTCCGTTGTCAAAAACGTCGTAAAATTGGTCGATGGCGGCAGGTTGAGCGCTTGCGAGCAATTGGCCCAGACGGGAAGCGTTGCCAGATTTGTGAGCGTCTGGAGGTCGCCGGCAGTGCACGTGCCTCCAGCGTCCCCCGGCGTGCAATTAAACGTACGTTGCATCGCCACTCGGAAGTTGGCTCCCGGATCCGACCGGTCGATGTTGCAGTTGGGTACCTTGTTGTGCACGGCAGCGATATTGGCGACGCAATTCGGTGAACCGCAGTAAGCTGGAAAGACCGTCGTGTCCAAAGAGAGCTCGATCACATTACTGCTTGCATTGCTGGAGCAGTTGGACCACAGCGGCTCGCTGGCCAACGCGATAAAGAGAGCGGCATCCGCACCGGTGCAGGCACCGCCGTCCATCGTTGGATGCGTCAAATTGTAGCAGTACGACTGCAGCAGTGTGAGCGCATGGCTTGTCGTATTGGCCTCGTCGCAGGACGGGACGCGGCTCGTGTAATTGGCGAGATCGTCACTGCACGCAGGTTGACACAATGTAGTGTAGCTGCCTTCCTCGGACGCGACACTGTAAAAGGTCGCACTGTCCGGCGGCATGTGCAGTGCCGCCGCACACGAGGTCGAGATGTTGGCGGCGATGGCTTGCGCGTGCGAGGTATTTTGTGCCATAGAGCACGGGGCCGCCGCACCATGGCGCGTCGTCGTCAGCAGCATCCATGTCAGCGCAAGCAGATGGTGCATCCTGTCGAGTCGGTGGACTTGTTAATGCTGCCATCGTCGAGGCAATCAATCCACCGCTGTATCTGAGCTCGTGGAGAATGGGAGGTATGCTGGAGGTGGGTCCAATAAAAGATTGGCCGCCATACGATCCAAAATGGCGCTGCAATCGCGCGCCCCAACCGTCATCATGGCTGTCGACGGTTGACGGTATTCATGTAGTATTTGATTGTCGACATCGGTTACACCGTCATCATCCACGTGGTTATCCCAAGAGCATCCACCAAGACGGTCGTCGCCCGGTAAATGGCCAAGCAAATGACGCTACAAAGATGGCGGCCCCCTCTAAATTCATCGTCAGACCCAAGTTTTGCCATGTGCGAACGAGTCGTGCATTGGCGTGTCTCCACGCACGACAACAAGAACGGGGATCGCGCCGCGGGCCCGCAGCAAACATGGTATCATCGCCAAGTACGCCATTCCATTTACAAACACTGACAGTCGCTGGCTTCTTTGTAAGTGCGTCGGGGGCTCCATGCACATTGGCGCAAAACAGCTCCTTGCACGAAGCCATGGCGGTCAACACGTCCGCAGCCTGCGCCTCGGCCATCAACGCCACGACAGCGACGCCGTTTTATACCACGCTGTACCGCGACAACTACTACGGCGTGTGCCAGCCATCGTGCGCCGCCGACTTGGCCAACTACACGAGCAGCGTGCCCGACTGCGACGAGTATATGAACGTTCGCGCGACGGCCTCGGTCCTCAACAACTACTGCACCAACATGTCGTCGCCCACGATGAACGGCGGCGTGTGCACCGAAGCCGACACGCTGCTCGTGGGCCTCGCAACGAGTGCACCGGTGTGGGCCAACTGCTCCAACATCATTCCCGCGGCGACGCTGTCCATGTTGTCACCGACGACACCGGCGCAATACCAGACGTACTGCGGCACGCCAACGTGCGTGGCCAACACCCAGGCCGTCGCACATCGGTTGCCCAACTGCACGTTCGACCCGAAGTACCCGACAGCCAATGTCCGCGCGAGCCACGAGCAGCGGTTTAGCTGCTCGCCGGCACCGATCGGCGCGCCGTGCACACTCGCCGACGCCAACGCAATGAACGTTCTGGGCAACACGCCACTGTGGGTCAATTGCTCGAGTGCGATCGGCCTCCCATCGAGCACGACCATCAACAGCTTCGTCGCGTACGTGATGGCCAAGCTCTCGACCAACACGCCGCAGACTCGGGCGTTCTGCAGGTCGCCGTGCGTCGGCATCGCGCTGGCGCTGGGGTCCATGGCCCCCGTATGCAGCCTCACGACGATGCCATACGCTGTGCTTGTCGCAAACGAGAAGCTCATCACGCTCGACATCGCGATACAAAGCTTGGAGAGGACCTTGGGCGCCGTGGCCAGCGCCGCAGCGATGAGGAACATGCTGTGCCCCGCAACGCCGGCGCCAACGACGCCCAGGGTAAACCCGACACCGACATCGACACCGACACCGACACCGACACCGTTGCCGACCAAGTCGATGGCCCCAACAAAGCGCATGGTTGCGATTGGCACCGTGCTTCTGGTCTCGCTGGTGGCGATGCTGGCCGACTAGTTGCAGCGTCTTTAAATTTTCACCACAATATTTCCCGTGCATGCATTTCCACTTCTACTTGTGCTGCATACATCGACCGAGCGAGCCGTTGCTGTGGAGCTTCTAGGTCAATGAGCCAGCATCATATGTCATGTAAACTGAGTACTTGAATCTTTACTAGAAGACCCCAACCCTGCAGCAAGAAGCCATTGCAACCGCTGGTTGATCGTCCGGGGCTGCATGGTCATGCGTTGATGGGCGCCGTCGTCATCACGCGCCCGCTGCACGATGCCATGCTCCGACCGGTCTCGTCGGCGTCGTCTCGCCGACATCATGCGACGCGATCATCTCGACAATGGCACATGCTACAACCTGCGACTCTATTCATTCATTCTACGACAGCTAAGACGACCACGACGCACTCTAACACAAACGACACGGCGACGCGTCTACAGCTCGAGGCGGAAGATCGTGTCGTCGTCGTCGTCGCGGTAACTTCGCGTGGCCTGCGGCGAAAAGACGTAGCCGGCGTAATGATCCTTGGGGTCCAGCGAGTCGACGCGGGAGCGCGACTGCATGTAGTAGGCTTGGACGAGCATCTGGCCTTCGCGGGCCTCAAACGAGAGCTGCGGCGACACGGCGTCCATGAGAAAGTCGACGGCCGGCGCGAGCGTCCGCGGCGATGTCATCGGGCCCATCGGGATCGTCATCGGCGGCGACTGCGGCCACGTGAGCTGCTCCATGTTGGCGTCAGGTCGGTCGGGCAGCTGCATCCGGGTCCGTCAAGTTGGAAAATGGCCGACTGAGTTTGCCGTCCCGCAAGTGAGGTATTAATATACAAACCAAACTTAATGTTTGTATAGAGAATACCATTTTGGAAGAGGAGCACCGCCGGGTTCAGATTCGTCGGAAAAGATTCGAAAATCGAGACTGTGCAAATGCATAGCCTCTATCATTTCATATATTAAATATTACAGGGACCACCCTCTCTCTCGTCACTCTAGCTCGATTCTGTGCTGGCCGCTCTCCGACATCGTACAGTAGTGTGTGCCCACGCGCCGCATGCGACGCGCTCCGCGGGCCTCATAGGAGCATTTTCACAAATTCAAGAATCTTTTTGAGGTGGAAAGACCACGATGCCAATCTGACTGGCCATCTCGCGACCGTTGGCGTCTTGCCGCCATGGAGGTGTGGCATCAACGTTTGCGCATATGTAGTACCCTGGGAGCATAGGGATGCAGCAAGAAGGCTGACCCGATGGCGTTAAGTGCAAGGTCGATGGATGGCCTCTGCAGTGCACCAAGTATGGTCCTATGCAGCTCCTCGCCGCATTGGGGCTCCATATCTTGAAAAGGAATCTGCACAAATTGGCTTCAAGGAACGGGACGTAAGGGGTACGGTTTTAGATTCGAGCAACGTGAACGACCGATCGCCATCGAAACTCTTGCCATTCGAGAACCTCTCAAACATAATAGATGTTCCAGTCACGTCAGCCTGAGCCTACGCAAGGGACCAATCACCGACGTCAAATCTCTCGCATTTTGAATTTTAGCCAATCAGACATTGGTTGAAGTTGGACGTGGCAGACCGTTGCGCTACACTTGGTGTTTGTAGGCGCCAACTTCAAGCACTAAACGCAAATCAGATGCCACGTCTCAGTCGACGCGGGTTCCAGAACGTGCCACGTGGATAGATCCGACGACCGCTCGGTGTTCGCACGACGATGCCGTACGATAGCCTGGACGTGTATCAGTGCATCGACCTCGTTGCTACTCGCAGCTACTAGAGCAGCACGCTACGAGGATCCGAAACGTCGACGGTGCTGCGTCCGCAGGCGGAGATGGCAGAAGCAGGTTGACGTATCTGTCCTACTGTACTCTGGAGCAAGCCGGAGCGCTTCGTCTCGCCCCTGCCTTCCAGAATGTACTACTTCATGCTGGCCTCTGCACTGCTGACGCCCAAACCAAGCAACGTCGTTCGAGAAGCTACTTTGAAGGCGGTTTGCTGCACTGAACCGATGCCGATGCCATCGTATCAGCCGCTACAAAAGTGTGCCCGTGCGTACCGTACGCTCGCTCGATGTAAAAGCAGCACGCCAGAAGAAGCGCCCGGTCCCATCGACCGCGCCAAGCCCAAGCATCAACGCCCGAATGGGGCCAAGCCAGCCGAATGTTTCATGACAACGTATGTCCTTGTATTAGTAGCCGTATTTATCGTTGAGCGCCGTGCGGCCGTCGCCGGTTTGGTTGGCGGCGGCTGCCATACGCTCTCGCCGCCTTCGAGGACGCCGTCATCAAACACTTTGGTGGGCTTGGCCCCATTCGGGCGTTGACGCTTGGGCTTGGGCGCGGTCGATGAGACCGGGCGCTTCTTCTGGCCTGCTGCTTCGACATCGAGCGAGTTTACGGAACGCACATGCTCTTCTGGGGGCGTCGGCTTGCTCTCGCCCGACGACACACTTGGATGCAAAGCTGTCATCTCGACGGAAACAGAAGGTGCAGGCACGAGCAACAATGGTGGCTGCTGCAGGTCGGCCGCGGCGACCGGTGCCACAACCTGCTTGGCGACCGGGGCCACAACTGGAGCAGACTCGACGTCCGGAGCAAACGCCACCGGCGTGGGCTTCTCGACAACCTTGTCGAGCGCTGGCGTTGCGATGGCCAGTAGCTTCTCTTGCTCGTCAATGAGCGCCTCGAGACGGATCGTCTCGGCTTGCAGCTTGGTGCGCTGGTCGGCCACGAGCGCTGCATTGGACGCGTGCAAATAGGCGTCCAAACTGTCGTCGCCATCCGTGCTGGCTTCAAGCGTCCTACGCATTCAAATGCATCTCCATGGCGTGTGCTCAAGTCGCAGCATCGTACGTGGCAGCAGCCGCTTCGTTCTTGCGATACTGAGCTTGGATCGTCTCGAGCTGGTGCGTGAGCGCACGTAGGTTGGCGCGAATCGAGTCGGCGGTCAAGACGCGCGGTGCGACCGACAGCGGTACGTGCTTCTTGGGCACATGGGTCTTGGTACGGTCATAGAAGTCATCGTCGTCGTCGTCGTCGTCGTACGCGGTCGACGTCTTGGGCTTGGTCGCGGCTTTGGTCGCACCTAGCTCTTCGTTGAGCTTTTCGACTCGACGAACGATGGAGGAGACGCACTGGCCTCTTTCTTGGCATCGAGCTGGGCCTTTTGCGACAACCGCTGCGTCTGCTTGGCTTGCAGCGTCGCTTCGATCGTCTGAATTTCGTCTTGAAGCTGCGCAATCCGTGCTTCGTTCTTGTCTAGTCCCCGTAAAAAACGATCCAGATATAGAGTATCCACGCACCGAGCGCGGCTTGCTGGCCGTCGGTCAACCCCATGCCTTGCTTGGCTCGGATTCTCTCCGACTCGGTGCGGAGGTTTTCCATCTTTTGCATGCGCGCCTGGAGACGGGTGTAGAGCGCCGTGTCCTTGGCCGAAATGGACTCTCTCGACACGCTCGAGACGTACGGCCCTGAGACATCCTTGCGCTATAGTAATGTATCAACGTATCAATCCTTGTTCGGAAGGCATGCCAGCGTACGTCGCGTAAGTAGTCGGGCAAGCTCTCTTGCCGCGCAGATTTGACAGCGGGTTGCCGCCGCTTGTCGCTGCCTTCGTCGTCGCTGCTGTCGTCTCGGTCGGCGTCGTCCTCCTCTTCCGCGTCTTCGCCAAAGCCCCAGGAGATGCCATCCTCGCAAGCACTTGGCTTTTTGGCGGTGGCTTCTTCACGGCCAGCTACACTCGTCATGAGCACCAAGGCATCAAGCAGCGGACTCGGACATACCGACGCGCGGAGCTTCTCCAAGTTGGTCGAGCTACAGAACCAAGCATTAGGCCAGGTGGAGGTATGTGGCGTGTCTACTTGTATTCGTCGGGCATGAGTTCGGGTGGACCAAGGATCGTGTAGATGCGTGTCGACTCGCCAAACACGACCACGTCGCCGACATACAGCTGCGTGTACTCGCTGGGCGGGAGGCGCCGCTTGTTGACGTGCGTGCCATGGGTGCTCTTGAGATCCACGACGAAGAGCTTGCCTACGCGCCACCATGAGCCATGGCCATGGCCGGCAATGTGATCGCACCGTCGGCGTCAAACTGCAGAGCGGCGTGGGTGCGCGAGACGGACGGATGCTGCAGCACAAGGTCGCAGAGCGGCTCCATGCGGCCTAGTCCACGATGAGCGTCGCTCGCCGTCAGTAGGCCAACGCACCGGCAACGAAGAAGGGCTTGGCATCCAGCGCGACCGTGTCCAAGATGACGCCGCTCTTGATGACCTCGAGCGAGAGGCCATAGACGTTCTGCCCGCCGCCGGCCCACTCGGGTGGCACGTACGCTGTCATCGCGTCCGAATTATGGCCAATCGCACACGTCTATCGCAATAGTGCCCGTGGATTGGCGGTATTTGACATATTTTTAGCCAATCCAGTATATCATGGAGACAACGCACAACGATTGGGCCTGTCGAGCGTGCCATTGTTTGATTGGCCAGAACTGCGACCGATCTGCGATCGAAACTCACTGCGGCACAAACAGCAGCTCTCGCCCCTGGAGCTACAATAGACTGCGTATCATGTGCGACGACAGAGGTCTGCGACGCGATCTGCAGCCTCTTTAAGGCGCTTTGCACTGGCAACAACGCTTAGCTTTGAGCGTTGCATGAAGGCTGTTGGCGTGTAGCGATGGTTACGCATTTACGGAGAGCATTCTCGCACCCTGGTGCAACTTACAGTGTACCTAATACTTCAGATAACAAGACGACATCTTGGGTCGCAACGACATTGTCATTTTTCTCCACTCTAGGGACAGCGCTGGACCAGGACCCTCTGCAGTGCTGGCAGATCACTGCTTGTTTAGGAGCCATGGGTGCGCCGAGGCATATGTCATTTAAGAGCCAATTCACGGGCAATGTCGCGCGCGTATATATGAACGTGTTTCGCGTTATCTTCGTGTTACAGAGACTTTGAGACCAGCCATCTCCTTCTTCTTCTTCATCATTCGCTCGCCGGGTTGTGGTGGCGGCGGCGTCCCGCTCTTCTGCAGTCGCCCGGGGTAGTCCTGAGAACGTGCACCTGCGCTGCCTGTGCTTGCTGTGGCTCACAACCGGGCCTAATATCGCGCAAGATAGATCTGACATCGATATGGTGTCTCCATCGAAACCACGGGAATCCTGTGTCCTGCAACCCACGGCTAAAGAAGCGTGTTTCTAGCCACCTGTGACACTCGATACAAATCGTATCATGTTGTAGAGGCTCTTGCGTGTGTGCCAGTCAAGGAGCAGCCACAGCCGCAGCAGCATGAGCAGCAAGGAAGAGATGGACGACGAGATCCGCGAGCAGGACCGCTTCCTCCCGACGGCCAACATCTCTCGCATCATGAAGGTCTCGCTGCCCAACACGGCCAAGATCGCCAAGGACGGCAAGGAGACGGTCCAGGAGTGCGTCTCGGAGTTCATTTCGTTCATCACGTCCGAGGCGAGCGACAAGTGCCAGCAGGAGAAGCGCAAGACGATCAACGGCGACGACATCATCTGGGCCATGAGCACGCTGGGCTTTGATGCGTACGTCGAGCCGCTCAAGCTCTACTTGCAAAAGTACCGCGAGAGCGTCAAGGTCGAAAAGTCGGACAAGAAGGACAACGTCGGGTCGTTTGGCGCCTCGTCGTAGGTAGAAGGAACCGACTAATGTATTTTGTGCGTCTATGACATGCGGCGAGGCCATGCAGCGCGGCGAGACGGCGCGACGCAGCGAACTGCAACCCGACGACGTAGCATGCAGCGTTGTGCCACTGGCGAACAGGCGATCGTGCATGGCACGCGCCGCCTCGACGTCAATGGAAGCAACGCAGGGTCATGTACCACGTACCTTGAAGCGATAGCGACGCACCGCATCGATCTTGCCGCGTGGCGCACTGCATGCTACGCACCATGTGCCGACGAAGCCGCTTTGCCATCGCTAGGCTTTGCTCAGTTGCTGCAAGGAGGTTGCTCAGCCTCGCGCTACATGTATATGCGTGGCCTCTGCGTCTTCATGCGGTTGCACCAACGTCAGCCGCTGCAGGTACCGGCCAGGCTGCCTTGCCACCCACCGAATGCAATGGTGCGACCACCCGTGCCATCCTCACACACAAGGCGTCTTGCAGCCGTATGACCATCGGTGCATATAGACCAAGCCGATCGGTGACAGGCACGACAATAGATTAAGAGTCTACCTACGACGAGGCGCCAAACGACCCGACGTTGTCCTTCTTGTCCGACTTTTCGACCTTGACGCTCTCGCGGTACTTTTGCAAGTAGAGCTTGAGCGGCTCGACGTACGCATCAAAGCCCAGCGTGCTCATGGCCCAGATGATGTCGTCGCCGTTGATCGTCTTGCGCTTCTCCTGCTGGCACTTGTCGCTCGCCTCGGACGTGATGAACGAAATGAACTCCGAGACGCACTCCTGGACCGTCTCCTTGCCGTCCTTGGCGATCTTGGCCGTGTTGGGCAGCGAGACCTTCATGATGCGAGAGATGTTGGCCGTCGGGAGGAAGCGGTCCTGCTCGCGGATCTCGTCGTCCATCTCTTCCTTGCTGCTCATGGTCGTCGGGGCGCGTGCTGGACTGCCATACAAATGCCAGGCCAGTTCCAAACCTTTGTCTTTTAATACTCTTCGGGATAAAAAGCGACAGTCTCCGGATAACATGCCACGCGAAGTTCGAATTTGAACCACGTATCCGGCTCCGCGCCCAAACACAAAACGCCAAAAAAGCGCACGTCGAGAGTTTTCAAAGTCACAAATTTGCAATGTGAAATATGAAGGAATACAGCTACTGTAGAGAGCTTCGTCAAACATACTCTATGTATTATTAGGGGCAGCAACATGCATTTATTGGCGCTCGCCGACAGGCGCTTGCGCAAAAATTCCTAACCACTCGCCCACGAGCCTCCGTGTCCGCCGACACTAGAGTTGTTGATGGTGTCGGCGTCGTATTGTTTGCCTCAAGCAACACCGATCATGTTGTATAGTTTGATACTCGGACAAGGTGGGGACTGATAGAACAGCGGGCCTTTCGCGCCAAAATTTCCCGCCGATCGCAAGGATGCAGTAGTATGCTGCTGCACGACAACTTGTCCATGGACCAGCGAGAGCGCAATGCTGGGCTTTTATCTGCAAGTACATACTATTACCGGTATCGATAGTGCGCGTCAAGAGGATGCAACACAACCTCGATCCTGGACTCTGCGTATGCACCAAGCAAAAGTAGGTCCGTCGAGAGCAAAGATCAATGCATCCCTTGTGCCCTTGCGCAGCCTTTTTGGTGAGCGAATTTTTACTGGACGCTTGGGCATGACCGCTGCTCAGATATGCCGCCTTCAACTGCAAAGTAGGTGGTTGACAGGCGCGACAATTCAGCCTTCAGCCCCGCACGATCCAGTCAAAGGATGCTGGATGGCAGGGTGTTTTTGCACACCAAAAATCCTTGCTCGGGAGGGCGGACTCGCCAAATATTGGAAATGTTGGTCGACTTGAATGCGCGTTGGACTCGTGCATGGAGGCCGATTGCACATTACCACTTGATTTTGAAGAAAAAGATGCATATAAATGTGGGCAATGGACAGGCGCGAGAACTAACTAGTGGTGTAGTACATGTACTACGTACTTACGATCCCTGTGGCGAGGTCCACACACAGCGTCGAGTTGCGGGCTGTTCTAGACTCGAAGTTCCTTCCAGTCGGTCCAACGCAGTGGTTAGACACAAGCGTCGACCGACAGCAGGTAATAGCTGCTGAACACGAAGTTCTCGTCGCCAGCTGCAACGCACGTGCTGTGCGCAGATCCAAATCAGATCGTTTCCAAAAGCAGCCAGCGTTTCCAGATCCTGTATCCAAAGAGCCTACGTTTGTATACCATACATAGACTCTGTCTACAAATCGAGCCAATCCCAGCGCGCCAAGATGGTCTGCGTCATAAAATGGCCTTTCCATACAAACGCTCAATCACGCGCGTGGCGTCCATCAAAGTATTGCCCAGCGCGGCGGCCGCGCGGGGTTATCAGATGCCGACGCCGTGACATGGTCCTCCGTCAAGTCCCACGCGTCCTGACGATGCGGTCGAGATTGCACTTTTGATTTTACTCAACCAGCACCAGCACTACAGCATGCAGCTCTCACTTGGTCTGCTTCTCGCGGTGGCCGCCACTGCCGTCAACGCCGATGGCGCATGCGAGAAGGCCTGCACCAAGGACATGAAGCCCGTCTGCGGCTCGGACGGTGTCACCTACAACAACGAGTGCCTCCTCCAGAACGCGCAGTGCACCAACGCGACCATGACCGCGGTGCCGTGCGGCAACAAGGCCTGCGCGATGCTCTGCGACAAGATGTACGCGCCGGTCTGCGGCAGCGACAACAACACGTACAACACCGAGTGCGAGCTCAAAAACAAGGCGTGCAACAACCCGACACTCACGGTTGCCAAGAAGGGCGAGTGCGACCTCTGCCCCAAGGTCTGCAACGACGTGCTCGACGAAGTCTGCGGCTCGGACGGCAAGACGTACAACAACAACTGCGAACTCCTCAAGGCTGCGTGCGCCAAGCCGTCCGAGAAGCTCACGGTCGTGTCGACGGGCGCGTGCGGCGCCACGAGTGCGCCGACGACGGGCTCGAGCCCGACCAAGGCGCCAACGACCGCGCCGACGACCGCCCCGACCAAGGCGCCGACGCCTGCGCCGTCGTCGGCGTCCATCGCGTCCGTCTCGGCGTTCGCGCTTGCTGTTGTGGCCGTCCTCGCCAACTACATGGCCTAAGGGATGTGTGCTACGTTGTCTCAGAAATGTTGCCGAAATCTCTCTAATACATATCGCTCTTCAATCCATTTTTGATCGACTTGAGCGTTTTGTCGTCTCAATAGTCGTCGCAACCGATGTTAATTAGACAACCACGATGGGAATCTTCACCTGCTACTGCGTAGTAATACGTACGAGCGACGGCACCACTGCCAGCATGGGGCTAAACGTCCGAGTGTTATAAGATCTAGCATGACGTTAGGATCCATCATCTTTTGACAACGACAGAATTGGTTGCTAAAACAGAATGAGAGAGCGCGTGGATTCGATATGTCTTCAAGAGCCCATTTTGCGATGTTGAAGTCGAGGTTTTACATAAGTTACTATCGAGTATCCGTCCACTTGGAACGTTGCAACGGATCCAAGTGGGCATTGCTATGCTAGCTTCTTGGTCGGCGGCTTGCGCACGTACCCGGCAGGTGCTTCACTCGACGCTCTTCGCGGACTTCCATCCTCTTTGAGTGCAAAGTGCTGCTGCTGCGCAAGCTCGCGCTGGTGAAGCTGGACCCACACCTACGCAACATCGTCGTCCCTACATCGAAAACTCAAACTCAAAAACACATCTCGTACGGCATGCTCGCGGAGTTTGGCTTGAAACAACTGCGTTTCCTCGACGATTTGAGCACGCTCTTTGGTCTTCTCGGGCAAGTTGGCGCCTGGCGTCTTGGTTGGCAGTGGCGCTTCGAGTGTGTCGACCGCTGTTTTCTCGTGGACTAGCCTCGGGGCATGGAGGGACTGCATGGTTTTGGCGGTCACGACATGCGACTCGGCGTCGAACCCACTCATCGACTCGTGCAGCGCGATCTGGTCGTCACTGGACAGCACGACTTGGTCGGTGGCTGCGAAAAGGTAGCGTAGCTTGAACTCGACAACAATTGGAGTCGTTGCGCGCGTGGGCTCGACCCAGAACGAGTAAATGAGGTTGCCTACGCACCATCCACATCATTCAGGACAGCGTTCGACATCACGACACGTCAACTAAGCATACCTGGGAACGGCGTGCCGTGAAGCTTGGCGGGTCCACCGCCAAGAAAAAATACGAGTCGCTGTCGTAGAGCACGGCTTGGTGCACCGTCGTTGCCCCCGAGAGGTCGGTCACGCGCAAGAGGAGGCGACCGGGGCCCGCGGCCGACTCCAACACGAGCTGCTCGTGGGCGCGCAGCACAAACACGATCGGGGGCTGGTGCGGCAAGAGCGTGCTCTGCAGCGCCTTGGCAAAGCACACCACAGTGTGTTTTGGCACTGGAAACATCTCGGTGCCGACATCAAAGTAGTGTGCTTCGGCTTCCATGACATCGCGGGCAATATGCCCTGGCAAACGCACGTGCCCCGTCTTGTACCATTCGAGGAGGATGCTGAAGAGCGACGGGTTGCGATCGAGGAAGACGTTGTTGGCGCTCGTGCTACTGCAGCCACACAGCGCTACACGGTGGAGGCGCGCGTTGGGAAACTTTTCCAGCACGTGCAGTTTGCACGGAAAGAGAATGCCGCCCACATCAAACGTGATGACATCCGATGCGTCACCGATACTATCGGGGGGTGATCCGTGGGGCCTCGGGGGCCTCGGGGGGCGCGGCCGCTTTGGTGCCACAGTTGCGTCACTCGCGGGCTTGAGCGGGCCGTCACAAGGTAGGGTGGTCGTCTCCGAGATGTCGGCGTCCATTAGCGTCGTGCGTGGCCCGGTGCAGAAAGGACACGTCCTACGATTGAAGTGGTCGAAATTAACGCCCGGGCTATATTAAGCCAACGCAAGGGAGTGTACAATCGTCTTGGGACGAGAAGAGTGGTAAGGGCAATGGCCCGCGTGTCGCCAACGACCGACGAGTTGACGAGCCCGGCGAGCAGTTGCGGCCAAAGCTCGACAAAAAAGCGGGGACCCAAGGCGCATTTGAGCCTCGACACGAGCGACGAGCGGGATGATGACCCGCTCACGACCGTTGTGCTCGCCGCCCTCGACGCGAGCATTCTCTACGACAACGAAGGGTCTCGATGCATGGACCGCGATAGCATTATGATGCCACTCTGTACCAATTAGAGTCGCACTGGAGGCGTTCCGGGCGCGTCTCGGGTCGTCGGAGGTCCATGCCGACTTTAAAATCAAAATGCTCCTGGACATGCTGGCGACGGTGCGGGCGACGCACCTCTCCAAGGTACTACCTACCTCCTCTTCTACCCATAGTACGAGAGTGTTGATGATGTCTTTGCTGCGTAGGAGTCGCTTGAGATAGCGTGGCACCGTATCGTGGACGAAGAGCGTCGGGACCTTCTGGAGCTCACGACGTCGACGCCGCCGACGTCAGCGCGCGACTCGGTCGCGTCTGTGCCCCGACCGAGCACGTCGGGCGCACCGTCCAAGCTATCGCAGGCCAAGTCCAAGCGCAAGCAGGCCGAGTACGACGCCAAGCTCCTGGCGAACCGCCTCGCGCTCCTCAAGCAAGAGGAGCAGAAAGCGTGGCGAAAGATCGAGCAAACGCGCGAAAAAGCACAGCAGATTCTTGAGCACCGCGAAGAAGCTGTCAAGAAGCAGCAAGATCGGCACTTGTTTCTGCATGCGCGCGAGGTCGAGACGCGGACAGCGACCAAAAAACACAAGCTGGCGGCCAAGGTGCCCTCGTTTCATGTTCTTTTATGTGCGTGGGATGGAACATATTGTCAATGGAATCGTAGACCTCGGTCATCAAGAAGCGACAGGCCGCGATTAGCGTCATCTCGCGAAAATACCAAGAAGTCGACACGGTCAAGCAGGAGCGGCGTCGGCTCAAGATCGAGAAGGAGCGCCAAGCCCAAGCCGAAGTCGAGCGCGCACGAGAGAAGAGGGAGCTCGTGCGGCGCCAGGAAGAAGAGGTTCCGATAGACACGGGATGTAGAGTGGACGAGTCATGTCCGCCTTGTGTTAGTTGCGGAAAAAGCGCTTGAAAGAACGTGTGGTCGCCGAGAAGCAAGCTGTCGCACGGTATCCCATTCCACGATTTTGATTGTGCCCTCTACAGGACGGTGAAGCTAAATGATGCGGATGGATAGGTACCGGCAGAGCGTCGAGGAAGAGGAAGTCATGCTCCGCGAGCAGCGCAAGCGGGTGGCGGCCATGGAGCGTGCGGAGCTCGAGCTCATTCAGCGTCTCCAGAGCACCCAGCTCCTCCAGCGCCAAGCGTACAACGAGCTTGAAAAGGCGCTCATCCGCACGGAAATGTAATGACCACTAGACAACATAGGATACTTAAACTATCGCCATCTCACTTTCAGCCCACGCTCGACGTTGTGTTCGGCGCCAACGCATCCCACTTCAACTTCCGGATACACATCCGGATACGAGCACCAACCACGTGGGCCACACCGTGTTTGCAATGGAGCACCCCCGATGCACCCCATACAACCGCTACCGGAACACGTGTGCGTCGACTTGCGCCGCGATCTTCTGGCCGAACGCGTCCGCCGGCATCGCTGCATCGGCGCCGCCTCCCAGGGCCATCGCAACGGGATGCAACATCTTTAAGAACAATATTCGCTGATATGTTTTGAGAGAATCACCCACAAATCCAAGCCAATCAAATGGTACCCGCCTGTCCTGGGCCAGTTTGCACCAGCGTTCTTGGAAGACGACGACGATAAGCATGAGCGCCGCGGCCAAAGAGAAGGGTGCCAGTGAGTACCATGCGCAGAAGAAGATGATTGAGCGCCTCCTCTCGAGCGCCAACGGTACGCTTTCCATGCCACTTTTCTCTCTGATTTCTCATCATGTCGGGCAGATGGCGACCTCGCCGAGCTCGAGGTGGCTGTCAACGGCATCGTTGCGACGACGGGCCAGTCGCTCTCGAAAGGCGACATCTTGAGCGACTTCAAGGACGCGCACAAGCGGTCGGCGATCCACTTTGCCGCGCTCAAGGGCCGCCGCAAGGTGCTGGCGTATATCCTCGAGAACTCGCCGTCGAGCTTGAACCTCCCGGACGAAGATGGCCGGACGCCGCTCTTGTATGCGATCAAGGCCAACGAGTTTGCGACCGCCAAGAGCCTCCTCGTAGGACAGCACGAATCGTAGCTCTGCAACGCGATCTGACTTCTGCGCTAGGTCGACTACAAGGCCGATGCGACGCTTGTCGCCAACAACGGGACGTCGTGCCTGCACGAGGCCGCGGCCAACGGCTCGGTGCGCGCGATCAAGCTCCTTGCCGAGCACGGCGCGCAGCTGGAAGCGTCGACGCCCAACGGTACGCCGCTGCACATGGCGGTGAGCGAAGACCAGGAAAAGGCTGTCGAGAGTCTCTTGTCGCTTCACGCCAACGTGAACGCGCGCAACCAGCATGGCATCACGCCCTTGCTGCTGGCGACGCTCATGCACAAGCCGGCGGTTGCTGCGCTTTTGTTGCGTGCGGGTGCCGACATGACGGTGCGTCTTGCTTGCTACTTGATGGAAACTATACGGCGACTAGGTCAACATCATGCCGGGGATCACGGCCGTTCACGTCGCGGCGGAAACGGGCTTTACGAGCATCATTGAGGCCATGCTCGCCGAGCGGGCTGTGGATACGCAGACGATCGCCAATCAGCGCTCCGACGCCGGGTACGCGTTGCTGGATTGTGATCCTTTTTTTTCAAGATTTTGCATGTGCAGCTTGACGCCGCTGGAGCTCGCAGCGGGGATGGGCCATGCCGCCGTGGTGCGCCTCTTGCAGCCGTTCACGGCCGGCTTTGAATCGGCAGACGTGGACGCGGTCCTTGCCAAGGAGCAGGCGCGGGTACATGTCGCTGGAAAGGCACGACCTCAATGCATCGACGCATAGGTCGTTGCCAGCGAAGCGCAGACGCCGGTCGTGGTTGCACCGACGACGGCGACCGACGCCGAGGTGCCGGCAACCACCGCCGCTGCCGACGACGAGGCGGTTGTCTTGCCGCCGATGGTAGCTGTGGACGACGCGACCGTCGCCAAGGCCAACGTGATCAAGGACCAAGGCAACGCACTCTTTGTGAAGAAGCAGTACCCCGAGTCGATCGCTCTCTACACGCAGGCGCTGGCGCTCAACCCGTGCGACGCTTTGCTCTACAGCAACCGGTGCGCGGCGCACTTGGCGGCCGGCGATGCCAAGCAGGCGCTCCGGGATGTGCGCATCTCGCTCCAGCTCAAGCCCAACTGGGCCAAGGCGCTCTTCCGCGAAGGTCAGTGCTTGGAGGCGCTGAAGCGCTACGAAGACGCAGCCATGTCCATGTGGTCGGCCATGCAGCTGGCGCCCGAAGACAAGCTCATCAAGAAGCGCTTCCAGGCGTGCGTCCAGCGCGGCCGTGACGAGCACCAAGCGTCGCTGAAGAAGTAAATGCTGCAACCTAGACAACAACAGTTCGAGTCTTGGTATGGCGCACACTTCTCCTTGAGGCCTCTCTGGGATCGCACACACACACCGAGGTGCCATGATGAGGATGAGTTTTTTAAAAGAGGAGCATCAAGACAAATGGCTCGACACGGACTGTACAGGGACTCTGTGCGAGCCGAGCAATTGGAGACGGAGCGAACAGTGAAGGCTCTTGCTTCGCCGATTCCACGCCTTCCCTGTACCAAGGCTGGACCCCTCGGCGACCCACAGTCCAAGGCATAAGTTTTATCTGGTTGGACTGCAAAGGTTCCGGGTCGTTCTTGTTAGGCAACGGGGGCTTGCCCTGTCGAAATCGTGTTGAATGCACGCACGTCCACCTCTCCAACGAGTCACTCTAGACAGACAGGTCGGACGGTTGCGGCGACGCAAGCTCGTCAATGACCCTGTTTGGTCCCAATACAGCAAGTCCCATTGCGGGGCTCGACGCATGATTGTATGCTTTACCACGCAAGTCAATAGTATCGACAACCTAGGGCATTTTGTGTTCTGCGGACCCCTGCCATATCGACACTTGCCATGCGGTAAGCGTACACTGTATTGCAGGGCGACAGTTGAAGGGTGAGTGTGTCATTGGCCAAGCTTTTGCGCAAGATGCAGGCAACGGCTGGTACCACAAGTCCGAGCTGCTGGACCAGCCGAGCAGCTCCGTTGGCATGTTTACATACTACTGTCGTTTGTGCACCCGCTTGCCCCGTTTTCTGGATTTAACAATCCCGATGCACTTGTCGATCGGTCCGCCACGTCATGATCAGTTGTCCGAAACCGTCAACGTGAGTGATGGTCGATCTCACAGATCTTTCAATATCTTTACACTCATTTTTCTTCTAGCACAATGGTTGCCAAGCGTCGCAGCGTCTACAGCACGATGACCAAGGGTCCTATGTACACGGGCGCCACGCTGCGCTTTACCCGCGGCCCGTACTACGCGCCGTCGCCGGACGTTGTCGCCGACAAGGGCATGACCCGCGAGGACATTGAAGCGCGCATCCACCGCATCCAGTGTGCTCAACGAATCATGTGGTACAATGGCGAAGAAAAGTACAATTTTGATTCTCAAGACATCGACGACCTGGCTCTCGTCTTTGGGATCTGCGATGCCACGACCCTCGAGGAGCTCTCGGCCGCCGACAAGACCCGTCTCGACAAGCTGGTTCTCAACGTTCACAACATGGCCCAGTCAAAGCAGCGGGCCATTTGGCGCGTGCACCGACGCTTTGCGATGCTGGAGCGTGAGCGCGACATGTGCGAGGCTCTGGGACTCGGACGCAAGCCGTTCTGCGCAATCACCGAGGCGGAAAAGATTCCGCTGCGTTTCTTGATCGGATCCGATTGGAAGGACGTCAAGTCGGTCGCCGACGTTGCCTGTAGCGTCAGCGAAGCACAGAAGCGCCACCAGAGAACGCTGTGGAGGATCCAAGTGAGGGGCATCACCAAGCGCTGCACGTGTTGCCGCTACTACAAGCACGCTCCTCGATACACGCTGCGACGCGACTGCCGAGATGTCACCCAATTCGACGCGCGGACTCACTGGGAAGACGAAGACATGGCGATTGACGATGACGTGGCACGTGCGTGGGACGAGGAAGCGAGCGTTTTGGACGACGAAGACGACGATGACGATCTCACCCATGAAGGCGATGCGGAAGACGACGACATGGAGCAGTACGACTTTTGCGCGATCGACGTCCCCGAAGAAGAGAAGGCCAGCGTGGCGCATACGAGTACATGTAGTACGATGTAATCCTAGCCAGTCGTTTCGATCCTTTGAATGGGCACAGCTCTTCTGTGTAGCCTCAAAACGCTGTTGTTGGCGACTCGTGTCGATGGCGGTACTGATATGGGCGTCACTTCTACAAACCGACTGGACATGACGGTGGTTCAGGACCACCCGCAGCGCAACCACTGGACCTCGATTGCATGTAGCCCGTAGCAACTTGTTTTGTTTGTTGGGGACGCTCTGGGACAGGGCATATCAGACCGTCTATGTCTACTGTGTGGGACGAAACGTGGTTGCGCAAGCAGTCTTGGAAATGGGATCGTGCTGGTGAAGGCGTGATACTGGACCATGGCACTCGTAGCGCGATTGCTCGTCCTGCACTGCTTGCCGATCTCGCGTCCTGGGATCAAACCACGGGCGACATCACACTTCCGCCATCAAAGTCGAAATCGGTTCAAAAAGATAATCAGACGTGCGTATCGTTGAATTAGACCAGAGGCGACGGCGGCTTTTGCACTAGCGGCACGTCGACCGTGATGACGGCGTGGGGAGAGAAACTCTGCAGATGCACGTACGGCACAGCGACCGGCGACGGCGGTGCAGCGACCGCATTGTCTTGGACCTTGGTTCGGGTATCGCAGCTATTCGGGCACGCTTCACACATCTCCGCAACGAACCCACAGCAATGGGTGATCGACGACCAAACGCACACGCACAAACTGATGTCGCAGTTGCAGCAGGTATACGACTCGGTGCGCTGGTCGCAGCCACAGAGATCGCACCCGTTGCAGTCGCAGTCGCACGCGTTGCAACAGTCGCAGCTACAGTCGCAGTTGCAGTCGCAGTCGTCGCACATGCGTCGGTCGTTCGCCAAACGGCACTACCGAACGTCAATGGGCGCGCGGGCTGGTGTCCGTATCCGGACGTTGCGCCTGTACCGAGCAATTGCCCTAGACAAGACAATATTGCGTGCGTTTTCTCCAAGACGTCTCGATTCCAGCCATTTTGGCTTGATTGTGCGAATGCGTGCCAGAGGGCGGGCTTTTTCCGGAGAGCTCTTGTGTTCGGTTGTAGCTCAAAAGTTGAAGCGACTGAAATTCATTTGCCAAGTAATTTACAAGATGGCGAAGAGCTCCAACGATGACAACATTGTACTACTACTACTACTACTACTACTACTACTACTACCTCAGTGCGATGTCTTCGCTAGAGCGGAGAGCCACCGAAACCTAGTGCTCCCAGACCAGCAAAGACATCGGCCAAGCCAGGGCGGTGCTCTATCGGCAAGCGCGGAGCTCGACGTGGTGGCTTGGGCTTCTTCGTGGGCCCGAGTGGCCAAAGCCCGACCTCGCGCAGTCGGCTGAGCTTTCGTTCACGTCCTTGTCTGTACGAGAGGGTGTCGTCGTCGTCCGTGAGCTCCTCGATCGTCTCGGTGATGGATGGCAGCTGCGGCGGTGCTGCAAGGATGGCCGACATGGACATGGCGTCCTCACACGGCCACCGCTCCATGTCGTCGACTGGTGCTTCTTCCGACTCGATCATGATGGACGTGTCGTCGACGCCGCCGCAGCGTGGACATTCAAACAGGCGGCTCGAGACCACGCGGCGCCACTCGTCTAGAGCCCTCGCCGCGTCCATCGTTGCTACCTCGACCGTCACGTTCGCTGCGTTGAGTTCTAGCTGCAATTTTCGGATGACTTCATCCGCTGCAGCCGACTCGTGGAGCGACGCGAGAGCTTGGTGCGCCAAACGCTCGACGGATTCGTCGAGAGATGCTTGTGTGGTGGCCTGCAAAGCGATTGAGGCGTCGAGTTGGTCTTGAAGAGTCGCGACCTGCAGCTCAGATTCGTCCAACGAGGCCTGCGCTGCAGCGAGCTGGTGCTGGTGCTCGGTTCGGAGCGCGTCGATCGTGCGAAGGTGGTCGGCGGCCATGACATCCTGCTCGTGCTGTAGAGCTCGAATCGTGGCCTCGGCTGCCGCTGCTTGAGCGCTGGAGGTGTCAAGTTGTTGCTGCAGTGCTGCTGCGGTGGCAGTTGATGCGTCCAGAGACGCCTGCATCACGTCCAACTGGCGCTGTTGTGTGTCTTCAAGAAGTTCCAGGATGGTAGCAGCGTCAAGCTGCGGCAGCTCAATCGCGGCCTCAAGTGGTTCTGCCGCGTTGACATCGGTGTCGAGAAGATCGTGTTGCTGTTCGTCAGCAGTCGACTGCGTGGTGGTAGTTGTCGTGGGTGCATCGGCGGCGACGTCTATCGGCGTGCAAGTGGCGTTGGAGTAGATCATGTACGCCAGCCCAGCACTCAAGGCGACCATCGTAGCGCGTCCAAAGTAAGCAGTCATGTTCGTCGTAGCACGTTGAATCGATTATGGCAAACGATCGATGTTTTTGCGAATGGTGTAAAAGCTATCGAGCGTCCGATTATACTTGAGTCTTGTATACCGAGTGTAAACGGTGTGAGCTGAACGAGGGAAAATCTCGCGGCCTCCACTCCGGCTCGAAGCTCTAATGCAATATAGGAACGCAAAAGACTCGAGACGAGCATAGATACCTATCTCTCGAGTTCCATGTTCATTCACTGTGATGTTTGCTCCAATCGAGGACACTATTCTCGATTCGAAGGCAGCAAGATTTGATATGAGAATCAAGCAGGACGATAAAACAGCGCTAGCGTAGCACTACACCTTCCTTGGGCGACTTGATGAGTGGTACCGTCACGGACACAGTCACTGGAATGGTCCGTGCAAGGGATTCAGAGGCGAGTGCCGGGCTTGAGGCGGTAGTTTTCGCTTCGTCTCGGATCGGAGCAGCCAGCAATGTACTTTACCGGTACTAGCGTGTATTCCATGATCCTATGATCCTATGCTAGCTCGTACAGGCGGCGTTCGTAGTTCTCTCGATTTCCAGACAACAACGATCACAATCCTGATGCACTTGTCGCTCGGTGCGCCACGTCATGATCAGTTGTCCGAAACCGTCAACGTGAGTGATGGTCGATCTCACAGATCTTTCAATATCTTTACACGTCCATTCTTCTTCTAGCACAATGGTTGCCAAGCGTCGCAGCGTCTACAGCATGATGACCAAGGGTCCTATGTACACGGGCGCCACGCTGCGGTTTACCCACGGCCCGTACTACGCGCCGTCGCCGGACGTTGTCGCCGACAAGGGCATGACCCGCGAGGACATTGAAGCGCGCATCCACCGCATCCATTGTGCTCAACGAGTCTTGTGGGACTGCGGCGAAGAAAAGTACAATTTTGATTCGCAAGACGTCGACGACATGGCTCTGGTCTTGAAGGCGTGTGAGGCCACGACCCTCGAGGAGCTCTCGGCCGCCGACACGACCCGTCTCGACAAGCTGGTTCGCCGCGTCCACACCAAGCTCCAAGTCCTGCAAGTGGTCATTTTGCGCTTGCAACGACGTCTCGCCATGCTAGACCGCGAACGCGACATGTGCGAGGCTTTGGGTCTCGGCCGCAAGCCGTTCTGCGCGATCACCGACGCAGAGAAGATTCCGCTGCGTTTCTTGATCGGCTCCGATTGGAAGGATGTCAAGTCGGTCGCCGACGTTGCTTGTAGCGTCAGCGAAGCACAGAAGCGCCACCAGAGAACGCTGTGGAGGATCCAAGTGAGGGGCATCACCAAGCGCTGCACGTGCTGCCGGTTCTACAAGCACGCTTCTCGGTACACGCTGCGACGCGACTGCCGAGACGTGACTCGCTTCGACACGCAGTCTCACTGGGAAGACGAAGACATGGCGATTGACGATGACGTGGCACGTGCGTGGGACGAGGAAGCGAGCGTTTTGGACGATGACGACGACGACGACGACGATCTCACCCACGACGGCGATGACGACGACGACGACATGATGCAGTACGACTTTTGCGCGATCGACGTCCCCGAAGAAGAGACGGCCAGCGTGGCGCATACGTGCAGTACGATGTAACCATGGACATGAAACTCAAGGAGTTAAAAGCCTGCAGCTAACACCGACAAACAAGACTCTAATTATGTGTCGCTTGAGTTTCTAGCTCGTCTCGATGTATCCAAGGTATTTGGGATACATCCCGCGCCCACGCTTTCAAACGGGCTATGGATCGCGAGCTGCTGGTGCAATGTCGTGAGCTGCTGGTGTAAAGTCGTGAGCTGGTAGTCGACGAGTATATGCTGCACAGCATTTCGGCCAATCCAACGACATATTGTGACCAAGCTGCCTATGATTGGAAGATATGCAGCCAATTAAAGCAGTGTCCAATAAAGGCCGACAGGAAACTGGTGCACACGCTGCGCTCGTCGCCACGTCCGCCGAAGTTGCCTAGGCAGAGTTTGTCCAAGCTGCGCAGTATGGTCGCTTGGACGATGTGCAGCGATATGTCGCATGTTGTCGGCTTCAATGGACGATTCTCTTGAATCGAAATTAAAGTTCGTTAAGGAGGAGATGCAAATGACCAACTCTAGTCTTACACTACAGTACCGGTAGCCTTGGGCTGCTCGACGAGTGGCAGAGATACGTCTACGGGAATGGCCATGGGCGTCGACTTTGGCGAGAAACTCTGCATTTGAACGTAGGGCACGACAACAGGCGGCGCCATGACGACGACTGGGTTCGTTTGAACAGGTTGCTGTCTCGTCTCGCCGCAGCCTGGGCACGGTCCCCACCAGATGCACGAGCTGCTGCAGCAGTACGAGTCGCAGTTACAGCAGTCGCACGTGGAGTCGTTGCAGCCGCAGCAGTCGCCGCTGTCTGTCGGATTGGTGCTGCCGTTGCAGTCGCATCCATCGCAGCCGTTTCAGTCGCAGTCACAGGAGTCGCAGCCTCCGCAATTGACATCGCCGCCGTCACACATCGCACTTTAACAAGACGGCAATTTGGTCAATGGTACTCAACTCCTCCGATGTCGCTTTTGGGTGTATCCGGATACAAATGCTCCACGGGCGGCCTTTCTTAAAATTACCTTATATGAGTATGCATCATTGTTTCATTCGCTCTTGATTGTGTACGCATGCGACGCTGAAACATCTTTATTGTGCGAATTGGCTGCAAGGTCCGGATAGAGAGCATTTGCATTGGCTCCGAGTCCAGATGGTTCAAGGCGCGAATAATTTAAAAAATTGAAAGATGGCCGCTCAAAAGTGTGGCGCCACGACCGCGCTACAATCAAATAGAACTTATCGCAATGCTAGTGGTACCAGTCAGCGCTATTAGTACACTGCACACGCGAGCCTGCACTCGTTTCGGAGCGCGTGTACATCTGACGGCGAAGCAATGGGACCACTGTGATGCCTGTATCATTTTATTGGACCGCCATCCGGCTGGACGCTGTGGACACGGTGTCCAACCCTGGGACATGGTCCAATTCCAAATGGTCCATTTCTAGCCCACGTTGGCACTGACTTTTGTCGGCAACGCGCTCAAACTGCGAGGTAATATTCATGCGATCGATGACCCATGCGCCGAGTATTTCAGTGACGTGGCCCCTTGTCGACGCTCTTTCGACGCCGTTGTACACGCTTCGATCAACCCTGTGGTTTTGCATACTCTTATAAGAAAGCGTGGGAAATAAAAAAGACAATATCGTGCGGGCAATGTGTCGTACTCGCTCGCCGACTGTGTGTGGACGTCGGCCCCATCATCCCGCGGGATCCCAAAGAGAGGTAGGACGCGCCACATGCATGGACCCATGCACTTATCCATATTTTGGCTTTTGTTTCCCGCTCCACGGTCCATTCAAGAAGCAGTGTTGTGCTTATGGACCCTTTCAGTCTAGCGGTAAAGACTCTGGTACACCACCAGAAACGGTCCGGGTTCGAAACATGTCGAGGACCTATAGTATAGTCTCGCAATCAATCAATCAAACGTGTTCGCGTTGAAATCAAGTTAGCAGAAACTAACTCCAAGGACTCTCGTCGCACGGACAAAGGAGGCTGACGACGAAGCTACGCGCATACATCGCCGAACTGGTGTGTGCATCTAGGTACAGTGCTTAACGCGCACGGGCGAACGCT